TGAGAACATGAAAGACTGTTTACTTCCAAAGACTCCATATAGATTTAAGTTTATGTGATATATATGTCTCTGGTTTGAATGATTACACAACTAGGTATACTAATATGAGAAAATATTTGAATGTGTATGATTAATTAATTTGAACAAGAGTGACATGAGGTACGCGTCAGTGAATTGGTACTCAGTCGCCCGCCGAGCGACAGATTTTAATCCCTGTCATGCTTTATTGTCCTAAAATTAGTTTATTATTATCATAGTGTCACATGTAAAAGGTCCAAATATTACAATCTCTAAAATACGTCTACTCACCCACCCTTACTTTCAGTCTTTATTAGACTTACGAGACACTCACTCTTCCCCTATCATTCTAGACTGTAAAAGTATTACATATATGCACATACTTATGAATTAAAAAAATTGCCAATATAAAACTATAAAAATAATTGACATTAAAAGACACACTACTACTTAATTATAGATCAAGTTGTGACGACGATTAAGAATATTAACACAGGTTTTGGCACAGGACCTCACCAAGTAAGGATTGCTTAAAATTACAACTAACTTATCATCTTTACTCATATTGGAAATATCAATTGTGATTTTACTAGCCTCCTACAATAGACCCGATCGGAGATCATTATATAAGTTACATTCTATTAAAACATGACTCTCTGTTTCTACCACGCTTTTACACGCGAAACACTTTCTTTCACTCAAAAGTATTCTCTCATACCGGCCTGTTTCGATGCGTATCGGTGCAACCCCATACCTAAACTTAGCTAGCGCACTACTATGTGATTTAGGCATTACTAACATATTATAATTTTCTACCTCATAATTAAACTTAAATAACCTGTGCGTACGTAGTTTGTTATCTCCAGAAATACAATTTTGGCTCCGGTACGGTTTAGTTCCCTTTTCCAATTTCCAATAAACAATTCCAAGCCACAGACCTTAGCGTCCTTAAGTAAATTTTTACTATTAATTGGACCTGTGCTATAGTTAACCAAGCCTCTAGCTCCCCGAGTCTGGAAATTACCCTGAAGTTCCAATTTTTATTTCGGTGGTTACCTATATGTGAAGGCGACTCCAATGTCTAAAATCAGCTAGCCATTGGTTCACTATTACTGGAGTCCAACCCATGTCCCCGCTAACAGCTACGTTAGGTGCATAGCGACCAAGGCCTAGATAAAATCTACATGCGCTATTTTGAATAGCAACAATACAACTAAATGGACGTGAACCCCATATAGCAGCACCGTAACTAATTACTGACCACACTGTACTCTCATACAGTTGTGTAAAGGTTTTGTTTGGTAAGCCTCCCATTGATTTAGATTTAGTTATTAAACAACCCGCTGATTTGGCCACGAGTTTTGCCGTTGCATTAAAATCCAAGTGTTTCGTAAATGTAAGACCCA